TACAGATAGCCATGTAACACAATTCTTAGTGGCTCATTTAGGGCCAGTCATTACTTCTTACCCTAAGTTACCTCATAAACTCATTGTGGGATAAAGTAAGAAAGGCAAATCATACATCCCCCCTCCCTTTACTTTTGTAGAGAAGAGGTGAAAGAGTATGCTGATGACTGGTAAAGATCTACATTGGGACACTTTTCCACATTTATTTCAGAGTTGTAAAATACATGTTATTTTTGCATGGGAACTACTCATATTAAATAGATCATCAATTCTGAGAAAGAAGTAGGGAGGGGCTGTTTGGTTTCGTTTATACCTGTCCAGTTGTGCTGTTTCCCATGTATATTCCCAGGGAAAATGGTGGGCCTGGTATAAAACAGGGGTCTCCAAACCTGGCAACTTTAAGAATTGTGGACTTCAACTCTTAGAATTCCTCAGCCATCCATATTGGCTGGGGAATTCTGGGAGTTGAAGTCCACAAGTCTTAAAGCTGCCAGATTTGGAGACCCCTAGTATAGAATTTTAGCTTCTGCTGAAGGCCTGGTATAGTAGCTATATGTGTGTCCATGCCAATTCATTCACACAAGGAAAGCAGCACTGAAGAAGAAACAACTCTTTCCTGATCTTGTAATTCCACCCACAACGACAGCCTTTTACTATAACCTCTTTAAAGTGATTTCAAAGGAAACCACTGCACTGAAAGATGGGATCAAAACCCTTTGCATCCTGTTTATTTTGGCTTTTCCACTGCTGGTTCACTTCAGTGCCCACCATCAAGCAAGATATTATTCTCACAAATTATTGATTCATCTTTCCCCCTGTCTCATGATAACCAGAAGACTGCCGTTCCACAATCAGCTGATAAATAATATTTTTGCTTTCTCCTGCTTTAATCAACCTAGACTTCTGATTGACAAGCAAAGAAATACCAGTAAGATGCTTTAAAATGGGCCAAAGCACTTACGGGCTTGAGGAAATAAGAGAAATAAAAATCTCTTTGCAAAAAAATAAATAAAAATGCTGCTTGGATAGGAAATCTGAGAACGCTGTTGTAACCCTAGAAA